AGATGATATACTATAAGCCATGGTACGGTCTCGACAAGTATTATAATCAGCCTTAGATGATATACCATAAGCCATGGTACGGTCTCGACAAGTATTATAATCAGCCTTAGATGATATACCATAAGCCATGTACGGTCTCGACAAGTATTATAATCAGCCTTAGATGATATACCATAAGCTGTGTACGGTCTCGAACAAGTATCATAATCAGCCTTAGATGATATACCATAAGCTGTGTACAGTCGACAAGTATTATAATCAGCCTTAGATGATATACCATAAGCTGTGTACGGTCTCGAGAAGTATTATAATCAGCCTTAGATGATATACTATAAGCTGTGTACGGTCTCGACAAGTATCATAATCAGCCTTAGATGATATACCATAAGCTGTGTACAGTCGACAAGTATTATAATCAGCCTTAGATGATATACCATAAGCCGTGTACGGTCTCGACAAGTATCATAATCAAATCGTTCTTTCAAGTCTTCATAAAGTGTTAATCAGCACCTTAAAAAACCATTAGGCTGTTAATGTGAAGATTACTACAAATTATTCTATTGTATTTATAGGTCTTCACTGAGCAATAACAACATATTCAACAATAAAAAAAGGAAACTAGAAACAAGACTGGAAAGTTTGTCAGCTTAGTGACCTCCCCGAGCAGCTTCTTCCAATTTGCGAAGTTTCATTTCACGTTCGTGTTGTTGCTGGTGGCTAAGTGAGACAAGTAAATTTGGAGATTTATTTTTAACTGACAAGTTTTTACTGTCATTGTAGTAAATTGAACCTTAAAAATATTAACAATCTTATAATTAAAAATTTGTTTCAATAAAGCAAAGTGCATTTTATTTTACAAACACAAACACTGAACAAACCCCAGCTGGAGCCATTTTTACAACATTAAAACAAATTTATAAACTAAAGAGAAACACAACGTTTTTAATGGATTACTTGACTAATTTGTTTTAAAAATTACATTTCCAAGCTTAAGCACAATCAGTAAGTATTTACTGCATCATATGACAGTCAACCAGATATTGTAACCTTACTCAGAGGAACATCAAACACTCCAGCAATCAACCATATACTGTAACCTCACTGACAGTAACAAAACACACCAACAGTCAACCATATATTGTAACCTCACTGAAAGTAACAAAACACTCTGGTAGTCAACCATATACTGTAACCTCACTGAAAGTAACATAAAACACACCAACAGTCAACCATATATTGTAGCCTCACTGAAAGTAACATAAAATACTCCAGCAATCAACCATATACTGTAACCTTACTGACAGTAACAAAACACTCTGGTAGTCAACCTGTAGTTGACTGCTGGAGTGCTTTATGTTACTTTCAGTGAGGTTACAGTATAAGGTTGACTACCAGAGTGTTTTATGTTACTTTCAGTGAGGTTACAGTATATGTTTGACTGTTGGAATGAGGTTATAATATATGGTTGACTGTTAGTGTGTTTTATGTTACTTTCAGTGAGGTTACAGTATATGGTTGACTGTTGGTGTGTTTTGTTACTTTCAGTAAGGTTACAGTGTATGGTTGATTGCTGGAGTGTTTGACGTTCCTCTGAGTAAGGTTACAATATATGGTTGACTGTTGGTGTGTTTTATGTTACTTTCAGTGAGGTTACAGTATATATGTACACATTTATCATAATAAATACTCCTCTACAGATGCCAGATGCATAAAAACAGAGAATTTGCTGACCCCTCTTGAGTAATCAAATGTTTACCATTAAGTTTCTGTGTAACTAATTATAGTTTGAGTGAGGTTACAGTATATGGTTGACTGCCGGAGTGTTTTATGTTACTTTCAGTGAGGTTACAGTATATGTTTGACTGTTGGAATGAGGTTATAATACACGAAAAAGGATGCTGAGTCCATCCTACTAACGTTGATAAATGTGTACATCACAAAAAAGGATGCTGAGTCAATCCTACTAGCTTTGATAAATGTGTACTTCATGAAAAAGGATGCTGAGTCCATCCTACTAACTTTGATAAATGTATACATCACAAGAAAGGATGCTGAGTCCATCCTACTAACTTTGATAAATGTGTACATCACAAGAAAGGATGCTGAGTCCATCCTACTAACTTTGATAAATGTGTACATCACAAGAAAGGATGCTGAGTCCATCCTACTAACTTTGATAAATGTGTACATCATGAAAAGAGATGCTGAGTCCATCCTACTAACTTTGATAAATGTGTACATCATGAAAAAGGATGCTGAGTCCATCCTACTACCAAATTATACTTTTTGAAAATTTCAATGACCCATTCTAGTCCATTCTGGAATTGAAACAAGGCAGACTGATATTTGTTTCATATCAATAACCTCACAACATTACTAGCATCAGAGGCTGCAATTATGATATCTTGATGACTATAAACATGTTTGATGTTAGCACACATCAGATTATAGTGTTTCATTAACTACACAAGTGATACCAGTGTGTGTGTGTGTGTGTAGGATCAGAGTATCTGATTGACTGCTGAAGTGGTTGACATAACGGTTTGTGAGGTTACATTATCTGGTTGACTGGAGGAGTGACTGATATCACTTTCTGTTAGGTTACAATATCTGATTGACTGCTGAAGTGGTTGACATAACGGTTTGTGAGGTTACATTATCTGGTTGACTGGAGGAGTGACTGATATCACTTTGTGTGAGGCTACAATACCTGGTTGACTCTAGAAGTGATTCTGGCATGTATCTTGTTAATTTTTGGAGTGTTTGATGCTACAGTGTGAAGTTAAGAGTATTTCATCAACTGTACAAGTGTTTAATATTGGTATTTTAGATTATACCATCTGGTTTATTGATGGTTGTATATCAGATTATAAGATCTGATTCACTATACAAGTATTTGTACTGGAATGTGTGAAAGTATGTCATACTAAGCTTACATTCTTTAAACATTAGGAAATTTGGTAGCTGCTTTCTTTACACTTTATAAGATAGAGCAAAATACATTACTGGATGTTACTTTTTATGCTATAGAGTGAAGAGATAAAAGTATTTCTATGACTTAAGATTTGTGAAATAAAAACATCATTTTAAAATATTTTCCTAACTATGAAATGTATCAAACTTTAAAGTTTAATTACCGAAGGAATTCTTCATGCTGTGCCAGAAGTTGAGGTGGCATTGCTCCTCCGGTGCGGGCCAATATCTCTCGTTCCATCAGCATTTGTCGATGAAAATGTTCCTGCTGTGCCATATGAGCCGCTGATAACTAAAGATACCAAAACATTAAGTAATTATCACTTAGTGATGAATTATGAGATAAAACCTTAATATTTATCAAATCTTACAACAATGGAAAGTTTATATCCTGCCATATTTACCAAGCGTTGGGCAAATTTATATCCTGCCATATTTACCAAGCGTTGGGCAAATTTATATCCTGCCATATTTACCAAGTGTTGAGCAAGTTTATATTCTGCCATATTTACCAAGCGTTGGGCAAGTTTATATCCTGACATATTTACCAAGTGTTGGGCAAGTTTATATCCTGCCATATTTACCAAGTGTTGGGCAAGTTTATATCCTGCCATATTTACCAAGTGTTGGGCAAGTTT